CTATTTCCCTGTTATACAAGTCGTTAATCGACGCAATTACACCATGATTACTTTGAAATTTTCCCGAAACTTAGCATAGTACATTAAAATTTTTTTACATGTTCCCCCATTTATTTAGTCGTTAACCGTTAACCGATGCAATTATTACACTGGTATAAAATGCGCGAATTAAAATTATTTCTACCGTACACAACAATGAAACTATTGTAACAGTATTTTATTAAAACGTCGACGGTGATTCGAGAGTTTTATTAGTCAAGTTGATAAATGCCGAGGTTGGCTTTAGGTAAACGTAGTGTTCCAAGTTCCAAACACCAGAGGGCGTACAAAGATTCGGTCAATGGTTGGACTTCGCATTTCGGTATAAAGTGCGCAAATTGAAATTATTTCTGCCAACGACACTACTGTTATAGTATTTTATCCAAACATCGATGGTGAAAAATCTGTATATGACGGCCAAAACTACACATAGAACGTCGGTACGTTTACTTCCGGGACGTGGCAATAGCCACATTGTCTCCTGCCACGCCCGTGGCACGAGACACTCCGAAATAATAAATATTTCATTTCTTTTTTATCTTGTAGAGTCTAAAGATATTTACATATTGTGTCATAATGGAATAATGATTTAACACTTGGTCATGGTGATATTTCAACGCACATATTACGTGCTATATGTGTGCATTCGGCAAACGTCATGTGAAAAATGACGCTAAATTGGCCATTGACAGTCATACTTGAAAATGTTTTAAACTGACGAATGTGTGTATACAATAAATGTTACAATAAATATGTTGTCTGTGTTTCTTTCACTCATGTGTTGATTCCATTGGCTTGTTCAATGGAAATATAAAAATAAAAATACTAGGACTACGGTGAGTTACATAGATTTGTCTACAGAAGTTGAGTAGGGTCTTTGTTGGCAAAGATTCGTTTACCTGAATACAATAGGATTTCACATTTCAGATTTTTTTTCTTTTTAACATTGTGCTGATGATGAGGCGTGTCCCAGTGTTCCATTACGAAAGTGTACCGCTGTTTAATGGGGTTTATCTCAGTGCTAATCTTTCATTACAAAGGTGTATTGCTGTTAACGGGGCCTACCCCAGTGTTAAAGCGGGGGAGTCGTCACCTGCGCATGCGTCAGATGGCCATAGCGTGTCATTGTTTACAAACAAGCGTCTACGCATGAACCTTTGCGTTCAGCGTGTGTTGTTATCGTCGCTTGGGACTCAATTCTTGCGCGTGCGCAGGTGACGACCCTCTCGCTTGAATCTTTTATAACGAAAGTGTACCGCTGTTAACGGAGTCTCTCCCAGTGTTAATCTTTTATTACGAAAGTGTACCGCTGTTAATGGGGTTTATCTCTGTGCTAATCTTTCATTACAAAATAAATGCAAGTTTTACGTGGTGAAGTGATTTACTGTTTTCAATGAATTTGTTTTTTAAATAGTAAAATGCATGTACACAAACTTTTAAAATGTTTTTTATTTTTACACTGGGCATATTAGCTTTTGTTATTTTTTTTTAATTTCAAGAACTCCGGGAGGTTGCAGTTATTTCATTTTCAAGTGGGCACATTGCTTAAACCCCGGGCCCAATCATGATAATCATGAAAGTTGCTTTCAAATTTAATAGTTGCGAAACGATTAATTGTCTAACATGAAATCGACCACAGTCAACATTATCTAAAAAAGCCCTGACTAGTACATCGAATGTTCCTGACACGGTGTCTTTATTATCGAGATCACTGGCCTAAATAAAAGGTGGTTCTGCAATCAAGTAATTGTGACGGTCTCCGAACTTTGGGTATTATATTGGCATTTAACTAAAGGAACTACCACCATCAAACAAAAAGGTGTGACTGTCCCTCAACTCATTGTTTCCTCCCAATACACAAATGGTATGACCCACACAAGATGGCCGCAATGGCATAAAATTACGTTACAACCCTGTTGTAAACTTCACATTTGTCACCTTATAAAAACAAATTTCGACTTCTACGTTATCTTGTTTTGACTACACGTAAATACCAAACATACAAGGAATCAGGCGAACTGGTAATCGGGCGAAATGGCAATCGGGCGAAATGGTAATCGGGCGAACAGGTAATCGGGCGAAACCGTTCGGGCGAAGTGGTAATTGGGCGAAATGCCCCCAATTCAAAACGGGGACTTATAATTCGGTCTCCGTCTGTGCGTCCGTCCGGAGTCGTATCTCAGAATCCCTTGGACCGATTCCGTTCATTCTTTGCATGTGCCTAGTACTTTATGTGGGACATATGCACATGCAGTGGTTTAGCGATTCGATTGAAAATGGCCGACTGGCAGCCATCTTGTTTTTTGAAAATGTTGTATTTTGGACATGCTTTGTCAGTTTTCATTCAAACTTGGTACATAGATTATACATGTTAGGATACATGTCCATGACGATTTATTTCGCAATTGGATCAAAGATGGTCGACTGACAGGCATCTTGTTTTTTTTATGCGGTATCTTGAACGTGCTCTGTCAGTTTTCATTCGAATTTGGCACATACATGTACTTTATACATGTTAGGACGCATGTCCATGACAATTTGTTTCAAAATCTAGTCAAGGATGGCCGATTGACAGCCATCTGACTTTTTGGCCTTACTACTATATTCCACAATTTATGTACCATTTTCATTCGTATTTGGTACATACATCATACATATCAGTGTGTTTCATAATCAGATCAAAGATGGCCGAATAACGGCTGTTTTTATTTTTGGCCATATTACTACTACACGGAACACATGTTTTGATGTAAATAAACAATCTGTTGTATACGCCACTTGGAACTCAAGTTTCAAGGACACGCTCACAACAACCCCTCCGCTTTAATATGACGAGCAAAAAGAGAACTTTCAAAAATTTAACGGGGACTGTGTCATTTTCAATGACTTGTCACTTCAGTTTTAGATGTTTGTGTTGAAGTATGTCATCTGTTGTGTGTTATTTAATTACAATTACTTGTAGTGTGATACTAGAATATTTCATTTGAACATAATATTTCCATTCCAAATACAAGTATATTTTAAATGTTTTGATACCATGCATCTACATCTGCCTCAGTTTTTTTTTTTTTCAAATTGACTTTTTGATGTGTGACATATTATGCCGATATCTCACAGACTGGACATTTGAAGAGCTTGTTACTTTGAGTCTCAAGTGCAGGTAATACCCCTTTGACATAAAACGCAGTGCATAACTGCCGTACCCGGTACATTGTTTCTAGTAGCTTGGTTACTTTCCTGTTATTTTGTGGGTATTTCAGCCCTCTTCGTAACTGTTTAACATAACTGTTAACGTAACTGTTTTCTATTGTTTTCGTTTATATCAATATTATTATTATTTTATCTTTATCAGTATAACCTCATTGTGTCTGATTATAATTGGAACAAGTCAAATTTGAATTTGACATCCCCATTATACTTTGAAAAGGCAAGATGGTTTTACCTTTGAACTTTCCAATAAATTGTATATTTCCGTACATTGTAGTATGTATACTAATAAACTATATTCCTTTCAAACTAAGTGCTTCTACATTTTATGCTGGCGCTAAAAGATACACACTGAGGGAAGTCTAATTAGGGGCGTATTTAGTGGTACTTAAATTTGATTTGTGGAGACAAAAAAAATATAACCTTGACAATTAGTATATCCATGATTCAGTTTATTGAAAAAAAGCGTGGTAAAGCTGAAGATAACATAAAATATTCTGATAGATGCGATATCACAATGCTTCGCAATTCACCATGTGGAAATATAAATTGTGTTTTGCGCCAAATTGACGACCGCTTTGGAGTATTGTGCATTGTACAACCTTAATATTGCCGATTGTCCTTCGTCATCTGTCTTTCATCGTTCGTCCGGTCGGTGTCCGTGTACATTTTTTACATTTTTGACTTCTTCTTGAAAAGTCTGATTGTTTTGCTATTGAATATATAGTTATCTCAAGTAGACCTACCTCATATATGTTCATTATAGATACATAACTTTGGTTGACCAAAGGGAATATGCGACCTCATAAAATATTTGACATACCGGGTAATGCCTACTTATCACTTAGATAATAATAATAATAATAATAACTTTATTGCATCCTTAGAAATACAATGTTTCTATCAGTTAATAGCGATAAAGATTAGTTGTGATAACTACTACTACAAAAAGAAAGTTAGTTGTTAATAGGATAAAGCAAGTGTTACATATCAAATGGCATTTTCATTCCTTGATTGAAATGCGTTATAGATATGAACAATTTTAGTGATGAAGTTGAGTTTTCAAAGACAAGAACAAAATTTGTTTCTAGTAGGTGTTCTTTATTTTGTTTTGTGGGAGTGCATTACTTGACTACCATAATGTTTTTATAATATTCTGAAACAATTCACTACTTATATATCAACATTTGTTCATGTATACTAGCACACAAATTTGAGTAAATCTGAAGTAAGCTGCATTCTTTTCGGTTTCTATTGAAGAAAAATAACGACGTTTTAGATTTTAATTGGGTGCTAGAGTTCTGTTGATGTTTTATATTGATCACCAATATTGATTAGTATCAAAATATGTTTTTGTATATTTGTTTCCCATGGAATCAATTTCTATAAATAAATGATATGCTACCACCCCCCTGTATAAAAATGGTTGTGACCATTGCCAAACTAATGATAAATGCGGAACCACCCCTTGGGTTAAATAGGTGTGACCATTTTCTGACAACCTGATAAATTGATGTGGTTGAACATTCACTCTTCCAGCTTTTATTCAGGACAAGGTACAAAATGAGTCTAAATATATATTTTTGTGGAAGTATACACGGCGGCCGCCAAGATGCCAATCTCTATGCCAGAATTATTAAACAACTACAGGAATATGGGGAGGTACTGACAGAACATGTTGGGAAAGTTGAAATTGAAAAAGGTAACATTCAATCTCATTTAATTAAAAATTGTAACACTTTGTGTATTTTTATTAATGTTCATAATACTAGTATATACAATACAGTTCCGGTGTAAATTAACTACTGCTCGTTCTCAGCTGGTTATTTGTTCTAACAGTGAGTATCATTTTCATCAATAATTTCAATATTTCACTGTCAGGTTACTCTGCACATGTATTTAAAATGGTACTAGACTATTTTGATAATTAAGCTCTGTTGGTTTTAAATTAAGCCAAGTTACCGATATACTAGCTAAATTTGAAAGGTAGGATTAGATATTACTGTACATACAAGTTGCATATTGTACTCCAATACTTAGGTTTAGTGAAAGCTGATTATTTCTCTTTCACAGTACCATGATAATATTTATGGAATTTTTAGCTTTGATGTGATCAGAGATAAAAAGCCCATTTGGAACTGTTGATATAGGTGATTTTCCATCGTCGTTGTTTGGCATGCCTCCTCCTGTGTCAACTGTTCCTTTAAATGACTTCTCCTTTAAAACTGCTAACTCTTTTGCTTTTATACATTTATACATTGTGTCGTTTCTAGTGAAATATGCTGTTATGAAAACCACCTCTCATATTGGTTAGATACTTATGTGTGTACCTTGGGTGGACCTTTATTTGAACACTTTGTTACAATACTTTCATTTACGTTACTTTTTGAATATTTTTGTCATTTTTTTATAAAAAATGCTATTTGGTCTCTTCCTGATAACTGCTAGTTCAATTTGATACTCAGTATATATGTACATGTACCTTGGGTAGACCTCTATTAGATTATTTCATTTTGAATTACTATATATACCTCAGGCTGTCAAACTTAAAAACTACAAAAAAAATTTCTATAAACTGCCAATGTATTTCAATAAGGTTCTATCAATCATATTACCCCTTGGGAGGGACGGGGTGATTTTCTGTTTCAGTCAATAGAAAAAAAACCTGCAAATTTCAAACTGGAAACCCAGTCAAATACTCACTTTGTGAAAGAAAAAAATATTTGTTTCTACCTCACAGTTGGATGAAGTGAGCTAATTGGCAGTTAAGAATTTTGAGGTAAAGGATATATACATTAGGCTGACCAAATACAATTCTATATATACCTCAAGTTGCAAAACTGATCAAAAATATATACCCCGACATCCAAACTAAAATAGTTATATATACCTCATGCTGTAAAATTAAAATACTATATATACCTTACTCAGAGATACTTGTATGTGATAGTTTATTAAAATGATTATTTTTATATTATAATTGATGTGCAATAATTTGCTGATACATAATAGAAGAACAAGTCAACTCTGTATGTTGCAGTTGTATTTCAACCACTGTTTTGACTGAAGGAAATTGCTTACGTGTGTATGATGAAAGTATTATAAAATAGTAAATTTATTGCATTTGCATACTTGTAGTTGAGCTTTATTATGTTTGAAAAGGCTCAAACTTATTTTAATTAATTTACATTATTAATATTTCATGCCTTCAATCTTTCCTTTTGTTTTGATGTGAAATTTCATTGACTTGCTGATGTGTCAATGTTGTTTTAATCTAAATTATTGATTATTTTTGTCAAATAATAAACCGGTATATATACAGTTTTTTGTAGAAAGGAAATAAAAAGACCAACAGCTTGCCATTCCCATGTATTACCGTATATTTTTATTTGTATACCATTAACAATATTATTATTATAAGAATGTCATCAAAGATCTATTCAATGTCATTCTTGCAATTTGAAACGAAGCTTAGAACTTGTCACTATGCATACAAGTATTATTAGCAATGATTTTCAAACCGAAAAAGCAATACTGGACTTATTATGTATCTAATTTTTAGATGCCACTGATAAAAAATGTAAACAAACAATGAATTTATAAACATTGTATATGTCACACATGGGACTAGCTCTCCTTGAAAATAATGTAATGAATGACTATTGCACTTTAAAGATAAGTTAGAAAAATAAGTAGTGTAACAAAAACCAGATACTAAAATATCACCAGTAAATGTGACAATATACCGGTAAATGACATAGCTGGAAAATTGAAAACACTATCATATCTTGTTTTTTTTTTACTCCTGTGTGCAAAGCACACAATGGGAGTCTTTGCAGTTAGCTTGTCTGTATGTGTATGTGTGTGTGTGTATGTGTGTCCGTCTGTTCCACTGATATCTCAAGAACCATACATCGGTTTTTGATGAAGCTTGGTGCATAGATGCTCTGGGCCAATGCGCAGATTTGATTAGGTTGTGGTAGAAATCCATGCTTATTAATTACCTAATTTGCATGATAATTAGCTGATTTTTAGCTGTTCCATGACTGTTACACTGATATCTAAAGAACCACTCATTGAATTTTGATGAAACTAGGTACATAGATGTTCTGACCTTATGCGCAGATTCGATTAGTTTTTGGTAAAAATCTTTGCATATTAATTACCTAATTTGCATGATAATTAGCTGATTTTTAGCTGTTCCATGACTGTTCCACTGACATCTAAAGAACCACTCATTGGATTTCAATGAAACTTGGTTCATAGATGCTCTGAACTAATGCTAGGTTTTGATTAGGTTTGGGTGAAAATCTGTGTATATTAATTACCTAATTTGCATAATGATTAGTAAATTTTCGGCTTTCCCACTGATAGTCAACTACTAATCATCACATTTCAATGAAACTTTGTACATAGGTTCTCTAGGACTATGCAGAGACCTGATTAGTTTTAGGGTAAATAATTGTGTATATTAATTACCTAATTTGCATAATTATTTTCATTTTCAGCTTTTTCCTTGATATCTCGAGTACTAATCATAACATTTCATTGTAACTTTGTACATAGATGCTCTAGGACAATGTACAAATATGATCAGTTTTGGGTTAAAATCTGTTCATATTAATTCCCTAATTAGCATAATAATTCATAATTTTTTGATAACATTTCAATAAAACTTGGTACATAGATGGTCTGTTACATTGCGCATATCTTATTAGTTTTACACTCAAATCTGTTCATTTTAATTTTCTGATTTGCATAATTAGTTTTCAGCTTTTCCATCAATATCTCAAGTGCAAGTAATTTTGAATTAATTTTTACTGTGTCTCTAATACTCTCAGCACACGGGAATTCTTTCTAAGCTTTCTTTGATTTTATTTTACAGAAGCAGAAAAACTTGACGCTAAATTTATTCATGATCGAGACATTGACTGGTTGGAGACTTCAAATGGTGGGTAATTCACTTACATTCATAGAGTTTTGGTGGGTGTGAGGGTTCGTCAACTCATATCGCATTGGGCTAATTAACACTTTTTTAAATGTCACATGCATAATTTATTTCTGATTCTTCAAAAAATGTTAATCAATACCTCTAGTTACTTTAAAATCATCGTAATTTAATCTATGTTTTAATTAATAGAAAATTATTTAAAAAAATATTTAGGTGTGAAAAAGAATAGTTTCCAAAGTAGAAACAGCTGATATGCTGTTGAACTGAGTTTATTAATTTATCTCCTTCTGTGTAACTATCATATATATGAATATTCATCATTTTACTTTATCTGCATCTACTGTAAACACTCAACTGATGAAACCTTAGTTACACCCAAATAGAATCAGTTTTTACTGTTCATTATTTCAAGTTGTTGTAGCTGAAGTAACACAACCATCTCTTGGAGTTGGGTATGAAATTGGTAGAGCTGTTGCTATGAAGAAGAAAATTCTCTGTCTGTACAGACCAACAAACCCAGGAAAAAGTGAGTACAATGTGTAGTGGTTGTGAAAATGAAAAAAAATAAATATTTTTTCAAGATCTTAAAATAATATACATTTTATAATGCAGACATATATGAATCTATTGGAGTATTTTTTGAAATGTTACCACCATTTTTTTTTTTTTTTTTCATTCCCAAGAGCTGTCCTGTATGATTCGAGGTGCACATGACGGGGATTCTATCAAAGTCTTTGATTACAAAGAAGAAGAATTACCTAAAATATTCAAAGATTATTTTGCTGCCCTGTGATGCTTTCTGTGAAAATTATTATCTATTATTGTGGTGTATAATGTCATAGTAGTAAATATTACTTTTTTGAAGATCTATATATTGAATGTTGTAGAATGTACATTACTTTCTATTGCAAAATGCTTTCTATATTGTTGGGATGCAGTTATATCAATAAATTTAACTGAAACAATGTTTCATGCTCTTGATGTGTCAATCAAGGTGGAATTGTGTAGTATTGTGAACAGCATCCCCTGTAATGATATACTGTAGAATACTTTATTTTCGCTTGGAATTTATTTTCGCTATTTTCGCTGAAAGGATGATTCCGTGAAAATAAAATTCAGCGAATATACTTTTTTTCTATATTTCACATTAACCTCATCAAAAATCAGTGAAAATAAATTCCAAGCAAAACGCCCAAAAAGCCTTTTCAGCGAAAATTAATTCCAGTGAAAATAAAGTATTCCACAGTAGTGCATTCTTTTTGTTTTTATGTGTGTGATGGCGCCCTCTTTGGCGTCTATTTATTTTTATACAAGAGAGATGAATTTTTGCAATGAGTTACTTGCTAATGCAAATAGTCAATTATTTTTTTAGTCCCTGTTCGAACAAAGTTCAAAATGGGAATTATAATTTGGTCTCCTTCCCAACCGTTCATTCGTCTGTCCTTACAAAATCATATTTCAGAACCCTTTGGACCAAATCTGTTTTTTTGTTGCATGTGCCAAATGAACATGCAGTGGTTTACTTATTCAATCCAAGATGGCTGACTTGCAGCCATTTTGTTTTTTTTGAAAATGTGGTATTTTATGCATGCTTTGTCTATGAGGATTCCTTTTGCGATCAGGTCAAAAATGGCTGACTGGTGGCCATCTTGGTTTCTGACCATACTATATCTCCAAGGCTTATGGACCATTTTTATTCATATTTGGCACATACATCGAGATGTCTTCTTCAACATCTATTATAACATCATCAGTACTTGCTGTCCTACACCATCCACTTAGAAGCTATCATAAGTGCATCATCATCCGGCCAATGAACGTTTGTTTTGGGTCATCCCTCCAAACTAACTTTGGCATATTGAACTACTACAGTGTGTGTTTAATAGACTCCCTGATCGACAAGGAGGAGAGACGCGGCAAAAATATAAACAGCCAATCAGCTATTTTGTATCAAAATATAGTAGACCGTTTTTTTAATGGCGACCCAGGCAGAACAGATCATGCAGTTATTCAAGATAAAAAGCCTCACCGAGGCATTACTAGCTGAAAAGGATGAGTTTGGTGCAACGAGGACAGGGAGTGGCAAATCACGAAAATTGTGCAACTCTTCCAGAGTTGACAGTTTCATTACTTTGTTGAAACATGGTCGACATATATATTTGTCACTTTGCTGACGAAGTATGCCTCAAACAGCCTGCAACATTGGCATCAAAAATTGTGGTAAACTGGGTGAAAAAATTCAGTGCCGTTTTTTTGGTTTGGCAAACCACCTAAACACACACGGTTACTAGAAGAATTTTGAAGTAACTGTGCTACACGTCGCCATTTCATTCTTTAGCTTATCGCGCAATGTTACACAGCATTTGATTGAGCGCGTTTTCAACAGGCGCATCCAATCAAACTTGGCAATGAGTCAGCACCATCAAACTGTGATTTGGACGATGCGATAAGTGATCACTTGCATTCTCTCTCTGTGTCTGCTAATGAAATGCTACTTGAGGTGGATTATACGATCACAGGGCTTATGCTGTTCAGAGGTGATTACTACTCTGCCTGTGCCGTCATCCAACTTGTATATTATGCCAAGTCGTGGTTTGTTCTGATATACTTTGCTTTTTAGTCCC